GGAGCCCAGCAGGTTGAGGCTGCGGTGACCAGGAGCGTGCCACTGCACTCCAGTCTGGGCGACTGAGTGAGACTCCAACTCAAAAAAAAAAAAATTGAATTAGTTAGTTGCCTGTATTCAAACATTGGGAAATTTCACATTTTAAAAAATTCTGGATTTCTAGTTTTTCTAGACACATCAGATGTTCTAGGAACCCTGGGCTCATGTTCCTCCAAGCAATAACTACCTTCCGCCTTTAGATGGCACTGCCTCTATCTCCCAGGCATTTATGCTACCACTTGGTATCTTAAAGCATTTGATTGCATTAGTGATCCAGTTCTAGGGGGTTCATTCTAGTGTCATAATGGGAGAAGAGATTGGAGCAAGGTGGGGGAGGGCAATGGCAGCCATAGGAGCCCAGGGAGAGAAGGGAGTTCATATTCAAGTTGGAGTTCATATTCAAGTTGGAGGGACTTTATGTCTGGACTCAGTCAGGCCTCATCTTGGGGTTGGGAAGGGAGATAATATTCAGAATCTAGGGCCCCCCTTCTGCCATCAAAAGCTTTGATTGGGCACAAAGAGAAGATAAAAACAAAGAAGTCCACCGTGATGCTGGCCAATCTGAGAACACATTTTGGACATTTAGCAAAATAAATACTATGTTCTGGGCCCAGGCCCACTCTTGCCCTCTTCATGTCTCAGAGATAAAAGATGAATGAGACGATGGTCTTCACTATAGAGGAAATGGACAGCCTTGTGGGGAAGACATTTAAATAACTAAATAATATAAGATAATAGAATAGAGACACATTTGTTCACTCAACAAATATATTTCAAGCATCTACTATGTGCCAGACACTGTGCTCAATTCTGGAGATATAGCTATAAATACGGACAATGCACTTGCCCTCATAGAGCTTATACTAGGTGGTTTGGGATATCAGAAGATGATGGAATTAATCGTGAGGGAGTTGCACATGGAGTAAGAGTTCAGAAAGGCAAACTTTTGAACTGGGTCTGGAAGGAAGAATAAAATTTTGCCGGGGATTGGGGTAAAGAATAGGTCTATTCTGTCAGAGGAAAGAACAGCAAGAGGGGCACAAAGTGGTGAGAATGTGTGAGATGCTTGTGGAATAACAGAGTATTGCGTGGGAGTGATTTTTGTAGAAGAAAAGAAAGCAAATTATTTTGGTTTTTTTTTTTTAGTTGGAGTCTCACTCTGTCACCAAGGCTGGAGTGCAGTGGCACACTCCCAGCCACCGCAGCCTCCACCTCAGCCTTCCGAGTAACTGGAACTACAGGCACGCACTACCACGCCCAGCTAATATTTTTTATTTACTGTAGAGACAAGGTCTTACCATGTTGCCCAGGCTGGTCTCCAACCCACGGGCTCCGGCAATTTTCTCGCCTTGGCCTCCCAAAGTGCTGGGATTATAGACTTGAGCCACCACGCCTGGCCGAAAGCAAATTGTTTATACCCTGAGTTGCCTTCTAACCTAAATACCACTGTATTTTTTTCTAGAAATTGAGTTCTCTACCATGGAACTATTTCAAAAATAACTAAAATAAGAAAGCACGCCAAAGGTGAAAACATTGTCCCAGTGTATAAGGTTTCACTGTAAAATAAGGTAATCTTTTAAAATCAACATAACACTTCAGAACTTACACATCAGAATGAGGGGTTTTTGAATTCTTCTTTCCAAATTCCTGTCAGAGCCTAAAGTCCATTCTTCAGACTATTGACACAGGTGGCAAAGTTTTTATTCTTGAGGATGAATTTAATTTTGGGAAACAAATCATCTAGAGCCAAAGTTAGTAAATAAGATAGAAATCAAGTTGGGTAGAAAGACTTTGAGTAAAAAATTAAGTGTGGGACCAGGCACGGTGACTCAAGCTTGTAATCCTAGCACTTTGAGAGGCCAAGGTGAGGGGATTTCCTGAGCCCACAGGTTCGAGAACAGCCTGGGCAACTTGGTGAGACCTCATTTCTACAACAAATCAAAAAATTAGCTGGGCGTGGTAGCACGAGTCTATAGTTCCAGCTACTTGGAAGGCTGAGGAAGAAATATCGCCAGAGCCCAGCAGGTCGACGCTGGGGTGGCCAGGAGCCTGTCTCTGCACTCCAGCCTGGGTGACAGAGTGAGAAGAAAAAAAAAAAAGGTGTGACTGCAAAATAGTGAATCCGATTTTCTTCTGTAACTCTTAAGGCATTTCTGAAGTCAGTTCTAAAAGATAAGGTCCCAAAATACTTTTGAGCAACATGGCACTGTCAGAACAGGCATGGACACACCCACCCAAATGGCACTTGTTTGATTTATGAATGAATGTACCCATGCATTCAACCAATATTTATTAAATACCTACCTAATAGATGACAGGTATTGTACTGAGCGTTGAGGTTGACAGTGAACATGATAGACATGGTCCCTACTTTTGTGCTGCTTTCTATATAGGGGAGATAGGTAAATACCAAGTTAACAAACAGGAGTAAGTTTTCAAAAGATGATAAAACATGATACTGTGATAGAGTGACTGAGAAGGAATGGGTTGGATACTTTAGGTGGGATGGTCCAGGAAGATCACTCTGAAGAAGGTCTTAATGAGGGAGAGGAAACCAGCCATGGTGAGTAATAGAGGAAAGTATTCTGGAAAAAAGAAACAGCAAGTGCAAGGGCCCTGAGGCGGGAACTGGTTGAGTGAATT